TCGCACTTCCCTATCCCTCTTTCAGAAAAGCTGTTTAAGTTGCAAAGGAACAATGCATACTGGCAATCATCTCTATGGGCTGATCCACATGTTACTGAAACAGTCCCCGGAGGGAGGGTTCTACTGGCCTGCTGGGGCAACCTATGTGTATCTCCCAAAATACATGAGTTAGCCAAACAACATAGGCAGAAGCTCCTTCTCCACGTGCATCACAGTCCTATTCCAAATCTGGCACCCTACCTACCGGAAATGAGGAAAAAACCCCAAGACCTTCCTTGAGCTTTTCCGCTGGTTTCAGCAGATTCAGCCAATTATGCAGAAAAATGTTTTAACGTGGCAAGGAAATTTTTAAAAGATGAAAAAAGATAAAAGATACAGCAAGTGGCCATTTCACATCTGGATTTTTCTGGTGGCACTTTATGCTTTTGAGGTGCATTCCCAATACCACTTCATGCTATATGTTACAGTCACATAAAAACGTGCAATTTGATTGAGCCGTCTGAGTTCGAGTTGCCAACCTCCAGGTGGCAGCTGGAGACCTCCTGGGATTACAGCTGATCTCCAGGCGACAGAGATCCGTTCACCTGGAGAAAATGGCCACTTCGGAACTCTGTGGCCCTGTACCCAGCTGAGGTCCCCTCCCCCTCTTCAGACTCCACTCTCAAAACCCCCGGGTATTTCCCAACCTAGAGCAGGCAACCCTAGTCTGAGTATAAGCAAGTGTCAACAGCTATTTTTATATGAAAATGCATGGCTACTTTAAAGTGACATTTAGGAGAAACATGTTGAATTACCTTATTGATAAGAATGACAATATCACCTTCTTTGATTGTCAGTTCATCTTCATTCTGTGCTTCATATGGAAATATTACCTTGCAGTACTCCTTTACTGAAAGAAGAGGACACAATATAACATTTTATTTCAAGATAATGAGTAAAGCTTACAGAAAGGGACTATTACACCTGCCTCCTCTGCCACTAAGCCACCCTCCTCACAAAAAAGCACAAAAACAGTGTGAAGGGTCCAGTGTGAGGGGGCGTGGTAGGAAGTGCCTGCTCTGACCTGCAGGCCCTATTCCGCCCTGCTCTCCTAGGTGAGGCTTTTCTTCCACTCTCGGGTAGCTCACCACCACGACCTGACCACTTTATGGAATTGCTGGCTGGGAGGGTCCGGACTCCCAGCTATCCTTCCAAGTTCTGAGGCTTCCCCTCTGTGCCTCCCGCTGTGCCTCCCGCTGCCCAGCACCTAGTCAGCACAGGGACAATTTAGTGCCTTGAGCGCCCTTGGAGGAATAGACACTTGCCAACTGCCCGCCTTCCCCCAGTGAGCCTTTTAAAATAGTGTGTCCGAGACGCTGGAGAACTATGTGGTACAGAGAACCACCTGCAGCATCAAAAGTATAAAGTATTTATTGAAAAGAAAATGTTTACAAGCATACTTTTAGCACGGCACTAGATTGAGCATGGGATACAAAAGAAATGGGTCAAATGCGAAACCTCTGTCCCTCTTACGCACATGCCCAATGAGATGTTAAAATATACCACAGGCTCTTTAGCTTTAATGAGAGGAGTCCTATCTCCTGTCATGGCCTCCTGCTCCAAGCATTTTTATCAAATATCTGTATCCCCACAAACTGCCCCAGTCATGCCAGGTCAAAGAGGCTTTTCCTAGAGATCACCAGGACATTACCTTCCTAGAGTCCCTCTAGCATTTCATTCCTCCACCTCTGTTCCCTGCCAGAAGAAGGGTAAGAACCTGACCCACCCATAATCTCTCCTGCTAGATGTATTAGCATTTGTATGAAGGTGAGCTGAGGTATGTCTGGGAAGCAATTGCACTGACTCCTCCCCCGCCTGGTCTCTGCCCAGAGTGGAAAACCTTTTAAAACACAACATGTAGGTTTTGCTCATTTCAAACCTCCCAGGAGAAAAGGCATTTCTTCACACCGGGTATCAGCAAAAAATTATCCCTACCTCAGCCCATGTAATGCCAATCTGCTAGTGTGCCAGAATATGACCTTTGGGTCCAACCCGTTGTAATTAAACATAAAAGCTTCTGTTCTATTGAAATGCATAACACATAACAATTAGAAAATATCACTTTTGTACCTGATGAAGTGAGCTCTGCCTCATAAAAACTCATACTGGAACAAATTACATTGGGCTTTAAAGTGCCGCTGGACTTTTGTTTATCACTTTTTGTGACACTCGGGGAGGTTATGCAAACTTTAGTCAAGCAGAAGGTGGGTATATAGTTTGATGGAGTGGGCTCTGTGCACATGTTAAGCAGCAAGTGGGAAAAGGAACAGGGCTTTGTTATGCCCTTTGTAGAGATCTCTATCTATGGTGATTAGCCATTATAGTTCAAGAATACAGGTATCATAATTTAATCCCAAACAGCAGCTATAGCCTCAAGACAAACCAGGAGGATAGAATTTTATCTGTTATGTAATATATGATATACACATATCGTATTAATATACACATCAGTCAATTAATACACATCAGTCAACATCAAAGAGGGAATTACCATAGCCATTACTGACCACTGTTTTAAAAACAGTAAACTAGGCTAGATCCTGGTTCTTATATTTTAGTCAAGAGGATAAAAGCTTTTCTGACTGACTTTAGGAAAGTAATTGTTCTGCAGTGTCAATATTTCAGTGTTTTGGCTTCTCTACTTTTCCATTCCATTCTGCTATGCCCGGTCATCTTCAGGAAGCAGGCTTGTATGTCTTTGATTCTCCCCTTTTATTTTCTCCTTTAGTAGCAGGCAATTTATTAGGGAAAGGGTTTAAACTGTGTTTGTGTTCCACATACACATTTATTTCCTTTCTGCAGTACCTTTATTTTTATTTACCTGATTTAACTTGGTTCTCTTTCTGTTAATTTGAATAACAGCCTGGAGGTAATCTGGGCCAGGATATTCCAATTCCATTAATTTTTGGTCCTGGAATTCACACAATCATCTGATTTTGAGATTCCTAGCTTCATTTTCTGATGAGTTAAGCCTGCCACAAATGGACAGACATATCTTTTTATTATTATAGATTCATGGTAATAACCAGCCAAGTGATTTGTTTTGTTATGATATTTGGTTTGGGTCAGGATCATATGAGGGGCTTAGGCAGAATCTTTGCCCAGGGGCCCATGGTGGCTCTTGGCAGTCCTGGCCACAGAATTGAAGAAAATGGATCAGGAAGGAAGGGAAGAGTTGTCTCTGCTCCTCCAGCACCGTGGCTCCAATCCATATCAGATTCTTATACAACTGCTCTTCAGGGCCAAATCACACGTTGGGAGTTCCACTTACAGAATACTTCCCCTATTTTAACCCTCAGAGCTCTCAAAGCGTGTTTGAGAGTTCCTTTTTCTAAATCAATAATGAAATGTTATCTACTTCCTACTGTTATTAGAGAGTGGAGAAGCTTTAGTGGTTTAGAGTCAGATTCCATAAGAATTTTTTTTGGTTTTACCTTCTCACTGTACTCTGCAAAAAGCTACTTCAGACAGTCAGATGATCCTCAGGGTAGCAGGGGGTATGGCACTGGAGCAGCAGCAATGAGGAGAACTGGCAAAAATTCTTCCCCATTCTTGTGCAGTTTTGCTCTATTTGGAGAACTTGCTCTGCTCACTCAAGAGTGTACAGAATGATTTCTGCCAATTTGCCTTATGCCACAGCTCCTACAATGAAGGTCATCATAATCCTGAGACTGACTTTTTCAGAGTGGGGTAGAGGATTCGTACTGGAAGCTTCAGGAAACAGAGTTACGACATTCGTAGAATGAAAGGGCTCAACCCTATAACTTCTTAAATATGCATGGAGACAAGAACAAATGATGAAAAGGAGTGTTCGCTGAAATTACTCAGTTTAATCTTGATGACTATTTACTGGAATATGCAGCTCTGGGTACATTTGGATATTTAGGACTTCAGGCTCGCTCACAGCTTGTGTCTAAATAAAATATATGTTAAAATATGTCAGAAATTCTTTACTTTCTGTAAAGCATTATTTTTAGAATTCTTTCAATCAATTTACGTTTTCACTTTTACTAGCAAGATTTACTAGCGAGATATAATCAACAGAGATGCTGCTGAATTTCCTCCTGGAGGAGATTTATCTTGCCCTGATCACATAATGCCTTCTACCATTCTTCTGGCTTGTATTCCCAGAATTTGTAAAGGTTACTTAAGTGGCAGTACACACATGCATTTTATATTATTTTTAAAGGGTACCATTCTTGAAAATCCTGTGTATCACAAGCATTTTTTTAAAATTAGGAATCCTTTCACAGAGGAAGTATTACAATGCATATCAGCAACTGGGCCCATACATGTCCTTCTGAGCACACATACACAAAGCTCTTTCAATCAGCTGCTAACAGGCTGCATAGCTTGGGACGTGAGACAGGGAGAGAACCTTGTCAGTTTATTTTTATTTTTAAAAAATCTTCAACACCTTAATCCACATATATGTTTTCTGCAGCCAAAAACAAACCAAAACACCCAACTGAAAATGACCCAGTAGATCAGTTCATTTATGCTGTCCTTTCTTGCCTATACGTAAGGGGGAGTAAAACCATGGTAAACTTCCTGATCAAGCTTCACGCTAGTCAGTTCTACTTAACTGGCAACCCTAAACGCAACTGAAGCAAGCATGGATTGCAGTCCTAGCAGTTTCAATAGCTACAGGCTAGGATAGGGTAGTGATGGATGTTTAACAGATTAATATTGCTTCAGTGCTAGTGGCCAGAATGGAATACTGGTTAGAGTGCTGGACGGGGTTCAGACCCCTATTATACAATGGAACCCTACTGAGTGACTTTGGGCTAGACATTCTCTCTCAGCCTCTATAGCCTTTCACCCTTTTCTGCTTCCTTTTCTCCTTCCCCACCTACCAGCCAACCTACCTTTATCTGTCTCCCTGTCTTCAAGTTTCCTCTCCTTACCAAACACTGGAAGTCTCTGCCTGGGAAGACTATGGCTCAGTTGTGCAGTGCTGGCTACCAAGCCGGGCCCAGCTGCATGGTGAGAAAGCTACCAAGACTTACAGAGGCACCTCACTCCCCCCTGTATCTCCTTCCCCACACTATTGACAGAAACCAAGTCTTAAATGCTGGCAATACAATGTGGTTGCCTAACAACAGCTACTGAGGGCATTCATTTGTTTAAGTTACAGGTGCTGCTTCTATTATTTTGGACTTTTTTTAACCCCATCAGTTTTTTAAAGGTTTCAGATTTTTCTGCAAATTATTCAGGATGTTTTTCAGGTTTGTAGAAAGCTACCTCTTGTTTGTTCATGGCTCTTATCTCTAGATTTAAGAATACACAGATTTGGCCACATTGAGAATTGATATATTGATGGGGTTTAGGACTCGCTCAATTAATGCATCATGTAAAACCGTGGTTTATTTTAATTATGCTTTGTTTATGAAACAAGAATTCAGCTCACATATCAGTATTCCAATTCCATGGCATTTCCACATTCAACGCTGCTGGGAAATGTTATGTTTTCCCCCCCCCCCCCCCCGGCACAGCATTGTGACGCACTTCCTGGGATTTTGCTAGCTTTTTACTGATCTGCTCTGCTCTGATGACTTGGAAAAAAAATCATTGCAAAGCCTGCATGGCTGTCACAGGGGTGGGAAAAGTTCAGATTCTCATGGGCCTGCCCACCTGGCAGTCATTTTCCTTGCCCTACTCCAGCAGTGGCCATTTCCTCTCCCACCAATGGAGGGCTTTATGGCTTTTTTAAATGTGGCAACTGAGTATCATTGTATGTGTAACAGGTTCTGAGATTCCCGGCTTTCATTCACAAAAAAGTTTCTAGTCCCTTTTGTTCCAGAGGTAGAAAGGAAAAGGCATATCTTCACAATGAAAAGGGCTAGAAATGTAGGGGTGTTTTGTTTTGTTTTTTAAAAAAGCTGGGAATTCACCAAACCTGGTACACATATTGTTAAAAATCATATCAATATAATGATATTGAACTACTGATTTTTAGAAAAACTGAAAAGCCCATGGTGCGGTGTAGGGGAGGATGGCTGCTGCCAGGGGACCAGGAGATGAAAACTATGAGGAAACCCACCATGTGGAAGCATTGTTGCTACTGCATTGTACTAGCAAACACAGAAGCAATGGGTAAAGTATATAGGCCTGTTCCTGGGTGGAATACACCCTAGCACGCCTTGCCAAAAGCTGATTTTGTTGCCTTCTCTCTATAGCTCAGGAGGGTACCAAAAGCAAACAAACCAAGATGTCAGTGCTCATACATCATGTAGAAACCTAGTTGAGACCAACTGTGGTTAACAAACACACTTAAGATCATGGCTTGTCAGACCCTAATTATGGTCAGTGGAATTCCAATAATCACCTTACTATAGCTTGTTTAACAGTGTCATATGATATCTGCACTAAGCCACTGTGTATATGGGTATTGATGAAGCAAAAGGACACATATAGCTTCCTTTAAGGGAATCCCAGTCTGGTGAACTTTGCATACTGGACTAGAGGGCTGATATTTGCTCAAAAAGAAAATAATTCCATTTGTACACTGTGTTAATCCTAAACTACTGTTCTCTCTTATCTGCAGAAAAGTCCAACTCTTTCTCCATATCCTCTGTTGTGACAGTATGCATATGTGTGTTTCCAGCAGCCAATCCTGTTCCACTTATTTCCCCCCTCAATACTTTAGTTAGATTGTGATGGGGAAAAAGATTATTCTATACTTTGAAATAGATAAAATTTCGCCTGCAACTTCCAATGTATTATAAATCCCATTTTTGAAAAATGTAGTTTTCTAGCTCATGGGGCCATCAGCCATTTTTTAATTTAAGCAAGATGGGGAAGTTCCTTCTTCCGAAGGCATGGTTTTTTTCAGTCTCCTTTCCAGGATGTTTCTTCAGTCTCTTTTCCAGGAAAAGAAACTGCACAGCAAGAGGAAGCTCCCTCCTCTTGATGAACTCTCTTAACAGTGTATTGTAATTACACAGCACAATCCTAAACAGAGTTATATTTAATCAAAGTTACTGGGCTTAGAAGGGTATAACTGTTAAGGACTGCACTATCCCTTCTTCTAGTCTCTCACAGAAATACTCCTGGGGCCATCAGCCATTTTTTAAAAAATGATTATCCTCTGGGCATGCACAGAAGCGCTGATCAGCCTGCTGGGACATGTAGTCTCCCTCTCTATACTTTTCAATTTACCCCTTCCCCAAAGCACAGGAAAAAGCTGAAGTACAGGGGCGTTTTTATTTGAAAGTTTTTATGAAGAAAGCAAAGTTTAGAACAACCCCTGTGGGAGAGGGGGGAGAGAGAGAAAGGTGCGAATATGCAGTTATGCACACTTTGCTAACTAGTAAAAAAAGAGGTGGCTGAAAAACAAGAGACCAGTCAGACCTGCCTGATGGCTTGGGTGCACAACAGAGTGATCAGACAACAGGAAATCCGGTTTGAAACCAGCTCAGTCCAAAAGGACTGGACTTTCGCAGGTATCAAATAAACACACAGTAAAAGGGGGGGGGGGAATGGGACATGACTGGGCACGACAGACAGAAGTTGCTGTCTGATTGTGCATTTTAAATCCATAAGGGAACAGCAGCGGCAACAGATCAAACTGCATGTCTGATCACCGCCAACATCCCAATTTTTTAATCCCAATATTTCAGTGTGGAACATTCCTTTCTCCTACAGAAAGACACATTGACCAACCTTGCCACTGTAAGCAAACTATCAGGGAATAGAGCAGAGTCAATCAACAATTAGAGATAACAAAGTAAAAGATGTAGGAGACCACAGGGAATCATAACACCTCATTTTCTCAACACGAGGTATATGAGGCCAGCTATTAAAGAAGGCCAGATGCTGATTTTCAGCATTTGTCATTATTTGCTATAAATATGTCTAAATATTTACAGATATGATTAAGCAAGATGGGGAAGTTCCTTCTTCCGAAGGCATGTTTTTTTTCAGTCTCCTTTCCAGGATGTTTCTTCAGTCTCTTTTCCAGGAAAAGAAACTGCACAGCAAGAGGAAGCTCCCTCCTCTTGATGAACTCTCTTAACAGTGTATTGTAATTACACAGCACAATCCTAAACAGAGTTATATTTAATCAAAGTTACTGGGCTTAGAAGGGCATAACTGTTAAGGACTGCACTGTCCCTTCTTCTAGTCTCTCACAGAAATACTCCTGCTTTCAAACACATGGGAGGACTAGGGCTATTAATGGTAAAGTTGTATAAACAGGATTGAAGCATAAGAATCTGATGTCAACTAGATACTAGTATTTTCTTTCTAGCAGGTAAGGAAACCTAATTATAGGTTCAACACTTTCTAAATACACACTAATTCATAGTACTGGAAATGCCTACTCTTTTTATTTCTTCTGGGAAGCTACCATCTGAAAGTATTTGCTCTTCTGATACTTCTGATACTTATGAGCAAGATGCCATTTTTAAAGCAGAAGAATAGCCAACAAATTGGATTTCTTAGGAGCTGAAAGTGCAATATAATCCAATATTCTGTGAGAGAGGATAGAGTATAAAAGAAAAGCATAATGCCATTTTTAAAGTCTGTGAAATGAAGTGCCTTGACATTTTTAGCTCAAAGTCCTATGGTACATTCACTTGGTTATTTTTGAAATGAGAAAACTGCTAAGAAATGAATGCCCCAAATTTCCCATGCTGCCCAACTACTTTAGCTATAAGAAGAAATAAAATATTAGCAAGACTTACTCTTTGTTCGGCTCTCCGATTCTATTTTCGTCGGCTCCTGAATTGTAGCTGTAGCTATTCTTTTTCCAACCGTCTGCAAACATACAAATGATTCCTCTTAATTTTTTCTCTCTCAGTGTCTTAAAAATTGGTAAAAAGCAAAATATTACCATTAATGTGTTTGCTTCTCTAAGAGGACAAATGGTCAGTTAAAAAAAACACCTTATTAAGAACTGAAAGGATTCACTCTATCCTTACCTGCCACAGCCCCTTCAGAAGTTCAAATTGATAGTTAATTGACCTGTTGTGCTTTATAATGACATACTCTTTTGCTTAAAGGCAGTTCTCCCTTCTATGTTATCCAGAGGTCATTTCGGGGTGAGGTACGGGGGGCGGGGCACATGACGAAGCCCCGCCCCCTGCTTCTGGCCGCCTTGCTTCCGGCCCTCATTCAGCCAGGAGGAGGGAGGGTAAGTTGCTTCCTCCCCACCTCTCCCCACCCCTGCCTGCTTGGGGCCAGGGAGGGCCTTCGTGGGGCTTCCTTGCACTCCCGCCAGCCTTGCAGGTCTACCGCCGGGCCCCTGATGGGGCTCGGCAGTAGAGCCGCAAGGCCGCCGCCGGCGGCCGGGACCATTGGGGGCGGGGTGTGTGGCCTTATGACACACTTACGGTGATGTCAGGGTATGTGGCATATGCTAATGAGTTATGCTAATGAGTTCCCCTAGCTCTTTTTCTACGAAACGACCCCTGATGTTATCACATAAAGTATCAAACATTAGCTTAATTATCTCTAAACTATCATTAATTGTATTTATAATTATACAAGCATTGGTACAAGCAGGAATATACTATATAACACTTCAAAAATTTGGCTATGCATAATAATTTAACTGGGTGGTAAAAAAACACTGAGGGTGGATCATCTGACAAAAGTAACATCATTCTATTACAAAAAGTGAAAGAGCCTGGGACTTTTCAGTCAGTGGATGTAGTTATAGCCACAAGCATGGATGGCTTTAAAAGGAGGTTAGACAGACCCATGGAGGACAGTTCCATCAATGGCTACAAGCCATGGTGACCAAAGGGAATATCCATATCCAGAGGCAGCAAACCTCTGAATACCAGCATTAGGAAAAAGCCTTGGTCTTTCTGTCGTGTTTGTTGGCTCTCCAGGGCAACTGCTTGGCCCCTGTATTTCTGGTTAATAAATACAAATCAGGGAAGGGTATGAAATTATATGCGGCTTTCCTGGATCTCAAGGGTGCCTTTGATTCGGTGCCCAGGGATATTCTGTGGGAGAAATTAAGTGACATGGGGATAGAAAAGCGACTACTGTTCTTGATTAAAAACCTGCATTCTGGAAACACCTGTCAGATTAGATATTCTAAGAAGGGGGACCTAACAGCCAAGATCCCCATTAACGTGGGAGTTAAGCAGGGCTGCATTCTTGCGCCAACCCTGTTTAACCTCTTCTTAAATGATTTAGACCCCTTCATGAGGAGTATTGATGGCCATTGCCCTAAACTGGGTGAGAGGCATGTCCCGTTACTTTTGTATGCGGACGATGCTGTCCTGCTCTCTCTCTCAGAAATGGGGATGAAAAGGATGCTTGCACAAGCTCTTGCTTATTGCAATAAGAACAAGTTGTCCCTGAACTTTGATAAATCCAAAATCATTGTGTTCGAGAAAAGTTGGAAGCCCATTAAGTGGGTTATACAGGGGGGAAAAATTGAACAAGTCAAAAGCCATAGATACCTGGGCATCTATTTCAATTATACTAACAGCTGGGCTACACATATTAAAGAAGCAGTTAAGTCATCAACTAACAACGCCCTTGCTATTGCCCGTTTCTTTTACACCAAAGGACATCAATATATCCCCACTGCTCTTAAAATATTTAACCATAAAATACCCGCCAAACTGCTTTATGGTATCCCAATTTGGGTCTCAGCTTGTAATGAAGCTGTAGAACGTGTTCAATCTAAGTTCCTGAAGAAAATCTTGGGGCTACCAGCTTGCGTACCATATGCAGCTATGTGCCTGGAGACAACCCAAAGACGGTTAATTACGATGGCATGGACCATAACCTTCAAATTTTGGCTGCGCCTTCATTTTAGATCTGGCCCAAACAGTCTTGTGGTGCACATGTTAACTGAATCCCATCTATCGACTTGGTTGATTAATATAGAGAAAAAAAATTTCTATAATCGGCTTTAGTTTTGATGACTTGGTACTTTTGTCTGAGCAGAAGGCTTTTGCCTTACTCAAACAAAGACTCCTCGATATAGAGGTGCAAGACCTGAGAAGACTTGCGCACAGACATTGCTCTCCTGTGAGTATGGGACTTTCTTTTAGCCATATTTCCTCAGGATACCTGGCAAGACTGATTCAGCCCCATCTTCGTAGGGCTTTCATGCTAGCACGGTTTGACGTCCTTCCCTCAGCTGTTCTATCGGGAAGGTTCAACAAAATTCCCTATAAAGATAGATTGTGCCCCTGTGGGATGGGGGAAATCGAATCCATTGGACATGTGCTATTGTACTGTAAATTCCACTGTGACAGCCATGTTGTTTTTATTGAACCTGTGTTGGACCCCCTTTTGGGCCAATCTGATGAGCATAAAATTAGTTCTTTATTGGCTTCGCACAATATAGAAATTCTGGAACCTGTAGCAAATTTCTTTTATGAGGTATCTAGGAGGAGAGGCTCATATTAAGGCAATTCGGAATGTGATACCCCTCCAGCCTATCTTGAGGCTCTATGCTGCATGTGTATTTGATATTTTATGCCAATAAAGGTGTTGTATTTGTATTTGTTTGTAACTGCTTGGCCCCTGTATTTCTGGATTATATGCACCAATGGTCTGATTCAACAGGGCTTTTCTTAGGTTCTTAACGCTGAGCACTTAACATGTGGAAGTCAGTGATATTGACAGCATTTAGTCAATGCAATAAAAATAAGGTAGGATGAGGGAGTTTTATGGCTGTATGGTGAAAGATAATTTCAACTACTACTTTTATAATACAGGCCAAGAGTTGTTGAATAGGAAGATGAAGTATTAAGCAAATTTTGCCTTCTTAAGAAATTATGCAAGAGCACAAGCCATTGACCTCTTTGCTGTAAGGAGGAAATAGAGGCAATAGAGAATACCAGTGTCCTCTGTTTTATTAATTCAAGGAACAAGGATTGATTCAGGGGACTGAATGTAAGAACCTTAACAGCGCAAACATAAGCAGAATGGTACCTTTCTAAGTTCAATGAAGTAAATGGGTTTAGAAGGATGTAACTCTGCTTTGGATTACATTGTAAATGTTCTTAGACATCACTATGAAATCCCAGTAAGATAGTCCAAAATTTGTAGTGTATGGGGTAAATCTTCTTTACAAACCAATTTAATTAATTAAGTCAAAAGTTTGGATACAAGAACACATTTTCTACTAGTAGACAGGTTGTATGGAAAGTGAAACAGCTGATTAATGTTTGAGGGGCAAAGTCATGACGATGTGAATTAAATTTAGGGTCCTTTAAATAACTGTCATCTCTGATAATGGTCTCCTAATGTTCTGTTTTTTAAAAAAAGAAAGAAAGAAGAGATTGGATTTATA